ACACAGTATTCCAGTTGTGGCCTCACCAGTGCAGAGTAGAGAGGGAGAATGACCTCCCTCGACCTGCTGGCCACACTCTTTCCTATGCAGCCCAGATCTTTCTCCTCAGTAGTGCTTTCCAGCAGGTCCATCCCTAACCTGTACTGGTGCCTGGGGTTCTTCCTCCCCAGGTGCAGGACCCAAGATCTTCTTGCCCTTGTTGAACCTCATGAGGTTCTCCTCTGCCCAGCTCTCCAGCCTGTCCAGGCCACACTGGATGGTGACACAGCCCTCTGGAGTGCTGGCCAGTCTTCCCAGTTTGGTATCATCAGCAAACTTGTTCATTTCACTGGGCTGAACGTTGCTTTATAGCTCAACAGCCCAGCGAAGGGTGACTGTGGGATAGAAATCTTTTAAAGCCAGAAACAGCTGACCTGGGGGAAAAAGAAATAATCAGTGCTGCGCATTCCTCACCCGGTCTTTTTTGTTTTTTTAATCAATCACTGGTTTGTTGCAGCATCGTTTCGGCTGGGTCTGGCCCTGAGCTGTGGATGGGTTGGTTGCTCCAGAGGGTGGCATCACAGCAGAGCTCCCTGAGGAGCACCCGGGAGGAGCTGCAGGGGGGGCTGGACACTTGCTGTGTGAATGCAGAGCTCCCCCTTCCAGGGCTGTAGTTCACAATTTCCCCCCCTTCCCCCAGCCTGGATTTTACACCTTGTCTTTTTGGAGAATTTCTGAGCTGCCTGGGGAGCAGAGCAGGCTGGGGGCACATGGGAGACACAACGGGACTTGGAGAATGGGGCCAGGGAGAGGGTATTTTTGCCACTGGGCCACGAGAAACACGGCTGCAGGGAACTTACCCAGAAAAAAAATTAAAATAAAAAGTCCATTCTGAGAAGAGTCTGGGAGTGGGGTCGGACCCCGGAGCCCCGTCTGCCCCCCGCAGTGGGGAGCACTGGCTCTCAGCAGCTCTGAGCTTGGGGTGCCCCTCGGGCTGCCCCCACCCCACAGCCCCAGAAGAGCTTCCTCCCCACGGCGGCTGCACCCAGCCTTGCCCCCAACCTGTACTGGTGCCTGGGGTTCTTCCTCCCCAGGTGCAGGACCCTACACTTGCCCTTGTTGAACCTCATTAGGTTCTCCTCTGCCCAGCTCTCCAGCCTGTCCAGGCCACACTGGATGGTGGCACAGCCCTCTGGAGTGCTGGCCAGTCCTCCCAGTTTGGTATCATCAGCCAACTTGTTCGTTTCACTGGGCTGAACGTTGCTTTATAGCTCAGTAGCCCAGCGAAGGGTGACTGTGGGATATATAAACCTTTTAAAGCCAGAAACAGCTGACCTGGGGGAAAAAGAAATAATCAGTGCTGCGCATTCCTCACCCGGTCTTTTTTGTTTTTTTAATCATTCACTGGGCTGAACGTTGCTTTATAGCTCAACAGCCCAGCGAAGGGTGACTGTGGGATAGAAATCATCGTTTCGGCTGGGTCTGGCCCTGAGCTGTGGATGGGTCTTTTAAAGCCAGAAACAGCTGACCTGGGGGGGGGATTAATCAGTTCTGCACATTCCTCACCTGGTCTTATTTTTTTAATCGGAGGAGCTGCAGGGGGGGCTGGACACTTGCTGTGTGAATGCAGAGCTCCCCCTTCCAGGGCTGTAGTTCACAATTTCCCCCCCTTCCCCCAGCCTGGATTTTACACCTTGTCTTTTTGGAGAATTTCTGAGCTGCCTGGGGAGCAGAG